TTGTATGTGGGAAGGACATGAGTTTTGGGGGGCTAGGACAGAATGCTATGGTTTGAGTGTCCCCTCAAAACCTCATATTGAAACTTAATCCCCAATGTGGCAGTATTGAAAGGTAAGGCTTATAAAAGGTGATCAGGTCATGAAGGCTTTGCCTCACAAATGGAGCAATTCATTCTTGGATTAATAGGTTAATGAATTAATGAGTTATCATGGGAGGAGAACTGGTGGCTTTATAAGAAAAAGAAGAAAGACCTGAGTGAGCACATTAGCATGCTAAGTCCTCTTGCCATGTGATGCCACCTTGTGATCACAGAGTCCCCACCAGCAAGAAGGCCCTCACTAGATGCAGCCCCTCATCCTTAGACTCCTGAGCCTGCATAATTATAAAAAATATATTTCTTTGCTTTATAAATTACACAGTTTCAGGTATTCTGTTGTAAGCAACAGAAAATGGACTAAGACAAAATAAATAAGTAAAATGTGTTATATACATTCAAGGAAATACAATTCAACCTTAAAAAGGAAGGAAATTGTGATACATGCTTTAATATTACATACCTTGAAAATATTATGCTAAATGAAATAAGCCAGATTCAGAAGGACAAATATTGTGGCTACTATGCCACTGGAAACATGATTGCTTTCAATCAAGTGACTGCTTGAAATAAATATGAGGGGAATAAAAGAAATGACTCTCTATATATTAAAGTAAACCAAGTAAAATAGTCAAATTCATAGACAGAAAGTTGAATGGTGGTTGTCGTGGGGCTGTGAAATAGATTTGACAGTTTCAGTTTGGGGTGATGAAAAGGTTCTGGAGATAAACAGCAGTGATGGCTACACAGCAATGTGAATGTACTTCATGTCACTGAATTGTGCAATTAAAATTGGTTAAAATAAAAAATTTTATGGAAAACCGGAGGGAAAACATATTTTAGAATCAGGACATGTTGACTTTGAAACGCCTGTGAAACAGTCAAACAGAGATGTCAAGGAGAACATAAATGTAAGAAGTCCAGAAGAAAATTCATGCCTTGAGATGTATATATGAGTCATTAGCATACAGATATTAAAGAACACTCAGAATAGATTCAATCAGCCAGAGGACATGGACAAATATGAGAGGATCAAAGAGACTAAGACTTGGAATTGGAGTTTAAAGAATACCAACATTCAGGAGGTAGGTAGAGGCAGAGAAACCTGTGAAGAAGAGAGGAAGGAGACAGAAAAGCTGAAGGTAAATCAGGAGGGTGCGTGTCCCTGAAACCAAGTAAAGCAAGTGTTTGGAGATGGTCAGTAGTGTTGAACTCCTGTGAGAGGTCAAGAAAAATAAGGTTTAAACGCGTTGATTTTATGTAGCCATAAGATGCCTGCTGGTGAGCTGGATGAGGACAATTTCTGCAACACTGTGGGATGAACACTAGCCTGCAGGATTAACTGGAAGTGTAAACATGGAGGCAGCCTATGAACAGTCCTTGAAACATTTCATTGTAAATGGAAGGAGAAAAGGCAGGATTTGGCTGGGCGCAGTGGCTCATGACTGTAATCCTAGCACTTTGAGCAGCTGAGGCAGGTGAATCACCCAAAGTCAGGAGTTTGAGACCAGCCTGGCCAACATGGCAAAACCCTGTCTCTACTAAAAATACAAAAATTAGCTGGGCGTGGTGGTGGGCGCCTATAATCCCAGCTACTTGGGAGGCTGAGGCAGGAGAATCGCTTGAACCCGGGAGTCAGAGGTTGCAGTGAGCCAAGATCACGCCACTTCACCCCAGCCTGGGTGAAAGAGTGAAACTCCATCTCAAAAAAAAAAAAAAAAAAGAAAGAAAGAAAGAAAAGAAAAGAAAAGAAAAGGCAGGATTTGGAGGGAATGTGTGGGGTTGAGGCAGGTACTTCAGCGCAGAGAACAGAAAAGTTGGAGGTCCAGGGAGAGGGCAGATAGAGCTCTGGTCTGAGCTTTCATCGTCAGAGCTGACCCAATGGAGAAGACCTGGTGTATCAGTCAGAGTCCTTTGGTTGAAACACACAAAGATGGCAGCTGATTTAAGCATAAAAGGGCAAGTATTGAAAAGCTATGGAGAAAGTTCACAGAATCAAAAAGAAGAATGGAGAACAAGTCGCAGCAAAGGACAAAATTTGGCCATGCTGGGGATACAAATAGCAGAAACAATTTACAATCATACCAGGGGCCACCACTGGAATTGATAGGCTCCATCTGTTTTTAGTGTTTTCATCACTTTGCTCATCATTGAAATTCCAACCAACTTCTCTTAGGCCATGTGCTTCTTGCTTGGAAGTTGAGGGGAGGTGCAGAGTTCCTTGATATCCTACCATGTTATATTGCATGGGGAATAGGTAATTCCTGGAAAAGGAAGTCAGAGTGCTATTTTTAAAGGATATGGAGCAGATGCTGGGCCCCCAGAAAGAAACACAACCAGAACAGGACTGCAAAAATCAGAAACTGGAACTTTGACCTTGAGAAAGTCAGAGCAAGGACACTAACCTTGTTTTCTGATACCCTTTCAGCACTTATTCATTCATGTTTTCATTCAGTTAATGTACCACAACCCAAAGTGGAGGGAAGTTAACATCCTATGGGGCAACCTTCAGCCATTGGAAGACAAGAACCAGGGGACAGACACCCCTTTACCCCCAAGTGATCCGGAGATGCATTTCATCCGGCTTTTCAGATGGTTCTGTGGGACTGAAACACCCTTCACCAGTAGAGATGGCCAACTTGACAAGGCCTCCTTCCGTTGGATTTCCCTCCTGCTTTGCTGTGCTCCCCCTATCTTACTCTAGCTTTCTGAGGTCACACTCCTCAGTCAAGTACTATCATATAAACCTCTGCCTTGACTTCTGCTTTCTAGAAACACAGGCTAAGGTAAGTGCAAGGCAAATCAGGAGCGAGAGGATGGGGTGGGGGAACAGGTGACAGCATGAAGTAGAAGGCCTGAGAAGAGCATCTGAGATGAGACTTGAGCCAACACTTGAGGGAGGTCAGACAGTGAGGCAAGTGAATTTCTTGGGAAAGACCATTCTAGGCAGAGGGAACAGGTAGAATAAGGTCCTAGGCAGGTACATGCCTATGTATTTGGGGAACAGCAAAGTAACCAGGGTAGCTACAGAAATGAGGGCAAAGAGTACTAGAAGATGTCAGTAACGTGGCTGAAGCCACATCACGTTTAGCCTTGCAGGACTTGGCTTTTACAGAACAAAAAAGGGAGCACAAGAATGGCAGGATCTGACTTAGGTTAAAAGGATTGCCCTGGCTGCAGTGCTGAGAAGAGATCTGTATGGGGAATGTGAAACATCCTCCCCTGTAGGATCCTGCTTGTAAGAACCAGAACTAGAACTAGAAAGTGAAAAAAATTCAAACCCTTCTTGAGGGAGGCTTGAAAGGAAAAAGTCTTCTTTAAAAGGCAGAACTATCCAAAGATGGCATGAGCTGCCTTAGGTAGTAATGATCTCCTGTCACTGGGGGTGCTCAAATACAGGCTGGAGAACTTGTCATTGGAAAGTGTGTGAAAATGCTTTATATGGGCTAATATAGGATGGCACAAAGACAGACTTCAGAATGCTTCATATCATAAGAGCCTCTAAGACCCAGAGACCCAGAGAGAATAATGACCCCCCTAAAGTCCCAGCAGAACCCAATTAAAATCAAACGAGGACCCACAGTTCCCAATGCAGGGCTCAGGGTCCTTCACCTGACCCCATGCTATCATCTTAAAACAAAACAAAAACAAACACAAAACGCTGTTCCCACTTCAAGTACCTTAATTTAAACTGATTTGCTTTGGGATATATAAGTGCAAGACCTAGAAAGAATGAGTGGTAAAGTGAGAAGGAGACTCCGAATACTGTCACAAGCGTAATATGCTAGAGAGGTGAGGATCTGGCTGGAGATGGCTGAGCTTATTGGTTCATTTATATTCATCCAATACATTTTTATTGAACATTTGTTATGCATTCAATAGAGGTGAATGAAATCCATGGAGCCTATGCTTCCTGGAACTTACATCCTAGCAGGGATGAGTAATTATAACTCATCTAACTGAGCTCTAACACCCTTGCTGGGACATTCATCAAAATTATAAGTTTGATGAATGTCCCAGCAAGGGTGTTAGAGCTCAGTGACAAAGACTCTCAGAGCAGAATACAGCCATTGTAGCAGCAAACCTGCAGGAGCAAGGGGGTGTGAGGGAGGGTGAAATCCCCAGAGCACAGGTTGGGGATTGAGTAGGGCAGCTAGAGAAAGGGAAGCTGAGCCCCAGTCCTAAAGAATCCAGGGCAAGTCATCAAGAAAGATCTCAGGGCTCAGTTTTCATAAAACTAGATGCAAAAGGAAGTCTATCCCTCAGTTAGAAGGCATTACACCAGGCAGTACAGGTTGATCACCTGGGTGTTTTATTCTAATTCAGATGCTCAGGTCCCACTCCCTCCAAATTTTGATCCCATTGGTCTGGGGTAGAGGCTAAGCACTTATATTTCTTCAAAATCTCCCCAGAATTTCTGAAGTACAGCTGGGGCTGAAAACTCCTGTAGCAAGCAGAGATGTCTGAGAAACCAGAGAGCACCCCCTGTATTCCCCTGCACCCACAGTATTCATTTCTTTGTCTAGTACACATATTCTGAACACCTACTACCTAACAAGTAAATCAGGACTTGCTAGATAGCAAGTGTTCAGAATATGGACTAGATGAAGAAATAAGTACTCTGTGAATGAAGTAAAGGAAGCCATCGCTGCTTACTTGCATTCGAGCCAGGATAGGAGTAAAACTGACCTTATGCTGATTCCCTGAATGACTGCCCTCCATCCCTCCTGACTGTGGACAAGACTGGCCCAGAACTGGAGCTAGATAGAGCCTCATGTGGCACTGGGTAAGGGGGCAGAAAGGAGAGAAGGGGAGACAGGGTGGCGGGATGGAGGGGACCAACAGTTCATTACAGATCAGGGACAGTGGGGGAATCTCAAACACACATTAATGACTACTAGGCCTTTTTGAAGATATCTTGTCTTTATTAAAGTGTCCTATCTTTATATAAGTGACCCCCCTTCCTCCATCACTACAGATGATGGTGACTTTCTAGTAAAGAGGAGAGTAGTCAAGTTTTTAACAGAGGTAGGGTAAATGAGGCCCCTCAAAAGTGCAGGGAAGGAGGAGAGGGAGTCAAGATATTAACAGAGGTGGGGTAAATGAGGCCCCTCAAAAGTGCAGCTTGCTGCCTCTCCCCACCAATTCCATTCCAGATCCCCACTGTCAGAAAGTCTTCTCTCCTCCCATTTCAAGCCATATCACATCTCATTTTAGAGCCTTGTAAGGTTCTCTCACGTATCTATGCACTTTCCCATGGACAAAGCATTTTACATCTTTAACATCCTCTCTCTTGCTGAAGATACCCCATCCCTGTGGCTTTAGGGGGACAGCTGATCTTTGGCAAGAGGCCTCAAGCTTGGCCAATGTGGGAAAGCCATTCAACTACAATTTCAGCAAAGAACCCAGGAGGCCAGGCCCCTGCTCCTGTATTTGGCTGAGAATCCGCTAGACTTGGTCCCTGAACTCTGAAGACCCTCCATTCTAATGCTTCCCAGAGATTTTGTGCTTTGCTTCTAAAACTCTGTCTTCTAAATCTCCCCTGAATTCTCTGCCAGTTCATACGCAGTGGGTAAGAAGCCCAGCTCCATGAGACCCCACCCCAACCACCATCTTTCAGGCAGGCAGACTCCAGAATCTGCCCTGAGTAGAAAGAAGCTGGAATCTGAGAAACAAAAGCAAGAGACCCTGTGTACTCAGCAGCGAAGGAACAGCCTGATCTCCCTCCTCGTGCACTTCAACGGAAACCTCTGCTGCGTGGTGAAGGCAGAATCATGGATGAGGCTCACAGGGTGGGCAAAGAAGCTAATGTAAGGCTGCAGCTAGAGAAAGTGGGAGATCATGAGGTGCAGGGGTGAGGGACTAATAAGAGCAAGGTCGAGCTCATTACTGTGGAAAGCCCTTTTGAGATCACCCAGTCCTCTAATTTTCAAACTTTTTAAAAGTAGTTAAACCTTTTTTTTTTGGTACAAAAATCTTAAATGGAACCCCATCTAAAGTAAAGCTGCTATGATCGAAGCAAGAGGAGGAGGCAGGAGTTGGAGGATGGGTGGTTAGACCAGGAGTTGGAGACACCCACTAGCTTAGCCTACTTTCCAAATCCAAAAGTCCCTGAGGCACCTACGCAGAACTTTGGGGTCCTGGGTTTCACTATGATAAACCAATGATCTTGCCCAAACCCTAAGTTTTATAGATGGAAAAAAATGTATAATTTGTCCAAGATCCCCACTGAGTCAGTGGCATCACCAGCGCTAGGAGTTGACACTATTCCCAACCCAGGTCTCTCCTCTACCTTCCCATCAGCTGACTGGCACCCTCGACAGGCTCTGGACCCACCCAGGGAATCTTAGACGGAGCTACGGAAGGAGAACTGCAGGTAGATGATCAGCAGCAGGACCGTGGCCCAAAACAAGCACCAGGGGATAGAGCAGAAGTTCCAGCCTGAGCCCGTCTCGTCCTGAGGCTTGGTGGGGCTGGGCGCCCGGGAGAAGGTGTAGGTGGTCGCCTCCTCCTCCAGCAGCTTCTCGCTGGGCTTCCAGTGCACGATGCCCTCCTGGCAGGCCTCGCAGAACTCTCCGCGGTGACGCCGGTTGTCCTGGCGGCTGGCCACGTGAATGCGGTACTGGCCGCCGCGCTCGCCGTAGCACTGCTCGCGCAGGCTGGTGATGAGGTTGTCCACCAGGCCCTCGATGTTCTCCTCCAGCATGCTGGACTCATCCAGCCGCGCCGAGCCGCACTCGTAGCACAGCTGCTTGAAGACACGCATGCGCACCGAGCCCGCCCGCTGGGCGCGGTCCAGGAACATGTGGAAGAGGATGACCAAGTGGGGTGACTGCCAGGTGTGCCAGCACCAGGAGCAGTGGAACCTGCGGAGACGGGAGGAGAGGGAGGAACAGAAGACGGGCGGAGGTGGTGGAAACAGCCCTAGGAATGGGGTGAGGGGACATGGGGGCTCCGCAGAGCCTGGAGGTGGAGGAAGTGTGTTGCCGATGCCCTGGGTTCATTAGCTTTCCCCAGGAAGCCACTCGGCCTTGCGAGTGCCCCTAGGACTAGAACAGGTTCCTCAGGATGTCACCTGGCATCCAGCAGTGCTCTACCTCCTCAGTGCTTTCCAGAGGCCTAATTCCCTCCACCCCAGCGCTGGGCGTCATTCTTATTCCTCATCTGCAAAATGCCCATGGTGCACTAGGCGAGTCCTTCCTGCTCACACCAGATAAGAAACACATAATCCATCTGCACATTTCTGTCTGTTAACACGTGACTGTGAACAGGCTAGCTCCAAATCCGGAGAAAATGACGCCATTACTAGCTATCAGCGTCCAGGCCAGTGCCAGAGTTAATGCATCACAGGGCCTGCAGGTGGAGGCGGTCTGTGCCCAGAGCCCCAAGGCCTGTAGTCTCCCAGGCCTGACTGGGGCCAGCTGGGGATTACAGGTCCCCACCCAGGTCTGGGGCAGCCACAAGTCCTCCCCACTCAGCCCCCACAGACTCCCAGGTCTTCGAGAAGCTCCTGAGTCCCGCCTGTAAGTGTCCAGCCCTTGACACCCCTCCTGTCAGCCAGTCTAGGAGCTTCACATTTTCATTCTTTTCTTGTTCACTCACATCTTTTGAGGACTGTTTCCTCCTTTCAGACGAGACTAAAAAACCTGGATTGAAAAATGTAACTGGAGGGACCTGGAAATCACCTAATTAATCTTTTGTTTTATGCTGAGAAAAAGAGAGAGAGAGAGGCATCCATGTACACACAGCTACAGGCAGAGCCGGCGCCCAGCATATAACAGCTGCCCAGTAATGTTTCCTGAATTGAAGTGAATTGGCTGAATCAGGGCAGGCGGGAAGGCCTTGCTTCTGACTTCCAAGCTGCACCCCTCAGCCTCCCCATTTTATGTCCCAAACGTAAGCCCCTACACTCTGGACCCGTGAATAAGAGTGCTAGAAAATCATCTCAGATAGTTTTTACATACTAATCACCTAGAACTCTTCTTGAAATCAGACTCTGATTCAGGTCTAAAAGGGGCCCACGATTCTGCTTTCCTAACAAGTTCCAGGTGATGCTGACCCTGCTGCTCTGTGGACCACAGGCTGACCTCTCACTGTGCAAATGGAGAAAGTCAGGTCCAAGAAGAAAATCGAATTCCTCAAGGGCCCTGGAGCCAACAGTAGAGCCAGTTTCTGGCACATCTCATGTATTCAATATTTTAAATGAAATTAAGTTGAATTAAATAGATTTAAACTGGTCCCAGGACCGGAGCACAGACCTCTTGACCCTCAGTGGGCCTCAAGCCCTTCTTCTCTGATCTTAAATTACTTTTTAAGAGATTGTTAAAATAGAAAATATGTAAAATGTCAGTGTGTAGGACTCATAAGTATATTCTATGTCTTTATTTTCCAGATGGAAAAATTGTGACGCAGAGAGGAAGAGTAACACAGGTGATCAGTGGAAGAACTGAAATCCAGCTCAAGTGTCCTCGTTCCCAGTTAGCTACTCTTTCTCTGACTTCCAGTCTACGCCAGCCTAATAGTGAGATTGAAGCTAAACACATGGGTTCTATGTAATCTTCCTCTCCTTGGAAGGTGCCCTAGAGCTAGGGACTTAGAGGCGGCCTGCAGGTATCCACCTTCCTGGGCCACTTACCTGCCTGAAGCATGCAACTCCACGTACTGCTTCCAACCAGGGCTCAGCACATTGTGCTTGAGGTTGGGGTCTATGATGAGGTCCCAGCTGTCAGCCGGCTTTGCCTCCTCCATCTTCTCATAGAAGACTTTCTTCCACTCGTCTGTGGTCACGCTTTTACACATGGTCTTGTCAGTAGTGAGGGAGGGCAATTTCCACCTTAGTGAGAACACGGAGAGTGAGGGTAGGTGCAGGGCAGGGCAGCGCAGTCTCCAAGGTCTAAAAATCCTCATCGACAAGACCAGGAGGAAGCAGGACCCAGCTCCCTCCTTTGTCCGCAGTGGAACCTGTTTCCACGGCAACCAGGCAGGGTGCCAGAAGACAGAGCTTGGGGAGGAGGGAGTCTCTGAAGAGGTGTTTCAAGGCCCTGAACTGAGATTGCAGAGGCAGAGTTTGTGGGTCTAAGTGATCCAAGACAGGGTGGAGGACCTGACCAGAGGTTGAGCTTCAGACCATCTCACCCCGGCCTGGAAAGAGTATGGGGAGGTGAGGACTTGGAAACTGGCTCAGTTTCACCTTGCCACACCCTGGAGGCATCATCAGCATCTGGCTGCTATGGTAACCATGATGCCTTAGGGAGCCAAGGAGAAATAAGGGATGGGGAGAAGTAAATTTGTTAGTAGATGGAGCAATAATAATAAACTCTCCCTCGGCTCCCCCAGCCATCTTGTGACCAGCACTTTGCCATTTTCAAAACACAATTGGAGGTCTCTTAAGTTATATCGCCGCAGTACAGATCAGGAGCCTGGGACTCACCTAGCCTGTAAATGGCAGACGCTGTATACAAATTCAAGCTGTTGACCCCAGACCAGTTCAGACCAGTTCATTAATTCATTCATGTCAGACATATCCTGACATGTGGGTAGAGTTTGCAGACATGTGCCAGGCTCTATGTCAGTGCTTGTAGCTGACTGTGTACCCAATTATTGTGCAATAGGATCCATGCTGTAATGGCCTTGTGCAAGAGCAGCCACCTGGGCACAAAGGTAGGAGCATTGCATCAGCCAGGCTGGAGTAGACAAGATTATTTCCAAGCTGATTATAGAAGTGTAGAAGAGGAGCACCACCCACAGGCAAAACAGCCTTTACTATACCTGCCTCTCCTGCTATTTTTAATAAATTATTTTTCCTTTGAAAAAATCATATGGGTTTATTCTAGAAAAATTACAAACTATAGTTGAAAGAAAAGTAAGACTCTTCTTTAATACCCCAACCGAGATGGGATGTTAACATTATGATATGTACATCCCACTTACCATTTTTCTGTACATGTACATGTGTATATGTGTGTGTATACACACACACATTCTGCACACCACATACATTCTACATACTACATTATGACATTTTCAAAAAAAATGTATCATGAATATTTTTCGAGGTCATATTCCATAGTAGGATATTACAGGCTACCTATATTCTGTTATATGGATAGGCATAATTTATTTAGCCCGTCCTGTCTTTTAGGGCATTTCGGTTTTATTTCAGTTTCGCACATTACACTCTTGCCATCTATTTGTATAAAACTTGTTGGCGAAGCTTATTGCAAGGATTAGAGACAACACTTCCTACAATTAGAAAACACATCTCTTGACTCCAGTCTCTCCAAAAGCCTGGTGTGGCTAGCAGAATCTAAGCAGGCTCTTCAAACAGTATGAATTTTAGGCAGACAGCACATCTTGAAGTTTAGTGACGAAAAAGAGGACCTAAAAATCACCCATCTGATACCAGAAACCATCTTCCAAGTGCTTCTCCTGCCGCTTCATGAATGTTTGATGCCTTGATTTATACTATTTTAACCTCAGTTTATTCATCTTCTCACTGGGATAATAACAAAACAGTATCTGCTGTGATTAAAAATAGGGGCTCTAGAATGGCTTGCCTGGTTGCTTTGTTGCTGTTGTTGTTGTTGTTGTTGTTGTTTCTGAGACAGAGTCTCGCTTTATTGCCCAGGCTGGAGTGCAGTGGCACAATCTTGACTCGCTGCAACCTCCACCTTCCGGGTTCAAGTGATTCTTTAGCCTCAGCCTCCCACGTAACTGGGATTACAGGCATGTGCCGCCACACCTGGCTAATTTTGTATTTTCAGTAGAGATGGGATTTCACCATGTTGGTCAGGCTGGTCTCAAACTCCTGACCTTAGGTGATCTGCCCGCCTCGGCCTCCCAAAGTGCTGGGATTACAGGTGTGAGTCACCGCACCAGGCCGCTTTTTTAAAAAAAGAAAATTTCCATGTAGCCTCGTAGGTAGCAATTCTAATATATGTAATCTGTATCTTTTCATCCTAGTAAAAATACATGTTAATGTTTTACGCGAATATATTTTTAAATTGCATAGTAACAGCAATCACTATATAGCACTTACTATGTAGCACTCACTATATACCACTTACCTGGTAAGTGCTTAGAAGGCATTGTTCTGGTGCTTTATAAGTATCAACTTATTTCATTCAATAACAACCTTGACAGGTAGGTAATAGAAGCAGCAGCTCCATTTTGCAGATATGTAAGCTAAAGTCTAGAGGTTAGATAACTTGTGCAAGATTTAACAGCTAATAACTAGTTGAATTGGGACCTGAACCTATATGACTGTCTACAAAGCCCCAGCTTTAGCCATTGTGATGCTCAGCATGGAATCTAGAACATAACATCTGCTCATTAAATATGTGTTTCTTCATCATTCATGTGGCCATTACAAACCCCAAGAATTGCAAATGAAGTTTATATCATTTCAGCAAATGGGTCACTGGGCCCCCCCACACTGAGGCCACATCTCCCCAGAAGAGGAGTGAGTTGTACTTGACCCACCATGCTCCCTGCTACTGCTGGGGATGCTGCCTCTGCTGCCAAACTTAATGAAGCAATGGTGTCCAAAGACCCCTGATACTCGGTGTAAATATTTTACAACTGAGAGAGAGATTTAGCTTGAAATCTTACCAAAGAAAATATGGTACAGAAAGTCATCTCTAGTCACAGCAACCCTGTAAAGCCTCAATCATTTGATGCCAGGCATCTTGGCTCAATGGAGAGAGCACTTAACTGGGAGTCAGAAGACACATAGCCCAGCTTTGCTCCTGGCTGGCACTGTGACCTTGGGCAAGTCACTAATTTCCCTAGGCCTCAGTTTGTCCATCTGTTCAATGAAGAATTAGGGTGGATGACAAAGGTAAGGTCCCCTCTGACTTTAGTCATATATGGTTTCAAACAGCTTTATACTTGGAAAACTGAATCCTGGGAGGGCAGGAGGTAGGATAGAAGCCACTGGCTGGAAGAGGGAAGCTTCTAAGAGGCATGGTAGGTAATGCCTGGAGCCAGGCTCTGTCTCCTGGGACCTGCTACATAGTTGACGATCTCTGGGGAGGTGCCACTTTACTAAATTTGTACTGAACACAGCAAGAACAGAAATTAAACATATCAAGCCACTGAACATTAACATTGGAAAAACCAATTTTTATGTAGAGATGGGGTCTTGCTATGTTGCCCAGGCTGGCCTCAAACTCCTGGGCTCAAGCAAACCTCCTGCCTTGGCCTCCCAAAGTGCTAGGATCACAGGTATGAGCCACCTCACCTGGCTGGCATTGGGAAAAACTTTTAAGTTCTTCAGGACCCTTCATTAAACTTTTAGTCCTTCAAGTCAGTATTCTTACCTCTGAATTAAGGCAACCAACACCTAAATAAGTAAACTAGTTTAACCTCACAGATATGATGGGAACTGCCTCAGGTGGGAGCTACTGGTCAAAATGAGAAAGGGGGCTGTGGACCTTCCCAGAAAATACATGAAGCTGAGAGGAGCTTATAACAAAGAGTGCTACCCAGAACAAATCCTCTAGAAGTATTTTGCAGGTGTTGCTACAATAAACACTATGATGACAGAAGACAGAAAGTAAGAATCACCAGACGGGGTGTGTGTGTGTGTGTGTGTGTGTGTGTGTGTGTGTGTGTGTAACCAGCTGATGCAATCCCCATTGGCACAAATTAAGTTTTATTTAGAACCTGAGTTTGCTGTGCAGAGGCCAGTATAATACATCCTTCTAGATAGCAGAGTATTTTCTCTAATAAAAATTTCTATCAAGACAGAAAAAAACACTGTGGTATTGCAACTCGCTCTCTATCAAATGACCTCTAACACCATGGAATCTACAATATAAAGAATGCCAATTCAGATATCTCTAAAGCTGTTGGCCTCACCCTGGCCAATTTCTTAAAGTTTGTGATCATGCTTTAAGCGCATAAAACGGTTCCAACTAAATTCCCAACTAGAAAATAGAGTGATGAAAAGAAAAAACAAGTCTCTAATTTTTTTTCTTGAAATGATGCCCTCATGAAAAATCATTCTCAACTGTGGGCAATTTTATATCCCTAAATGGCATTTGAGAAGAAGGAGGGATGTGTTTTAGGGCTGGACCCATGACTAGAAGTTTCTATTGGTACCCTGTACCAAAGATCTAAATGTGCCTCGCAGTCCCCAAACAAAGACTCTTTCCTCCTAGAATGCCCCAACATTGCTGAGCCAGAGCAGTAAGCCCCTCCATAATCTGTTGACTTAATGATATTAAGAGCGCATGTAGTGGTCTCAACTTTAAAGGAACTTTTAATTTTCTTCTCTAATGGAAATTTTGTTTTCCTTGAAAACTAAGATTTCTAAAATAGCAGAGCTCAAAATTGCGGGTACAGAAAGAAAAGAAAAAAAAAACTAGTTTACCATCGGGGTAATTTTGAGAGAACCATTCCATTCCACCCTTTAATTCTTGGAACTAAGCACTATATCATCGTGGTTGCTAATTCTGAGCATATACCCAAATCCTGGAGAACATTATCCTAGCCCTGCAAGGTCCTGTCCCCCAGCTGATTCTATAACTGAGTATTCCAAAGACCACCACATTGTTCAATCAGGCCAACTGCTTCGGGATTATGGGTGATACAGTTAAGACTAATGAATTTCATGAGTGTGAGCTCATTGCCAGATTTGCTTTACATTGAAATGAGTTGCCAGTCAGAAGCAATGCTATATGGAATATCACAATGGTATATAAGGAATTCTCTAAATCCACTGCTAAGTGCCTGATATGGTTTGGATTTGCATCCTCACCCAAATCTCATGTCGAATTGTAATCCCCAATGTTGGAAGGAGGTCCTGGTGGGAGGTGATTGGATTATAGTGGTGGATTTCCTCCTTGCTGTTCTGGTGATAGTGATAGAGTTCTCATGAGATCTGATTGTTTAAATGAGTGTAGCACCTCCCCCTTCACTCTCTCTTCCTCCTGCTCCAGACATGTAAGACAAGCCTGCTTTGCTTCACCTTCTGTCATAATTGTAAGTTTCCTAAGGCCTCCTTGGCTATGCTACCTGTACAGCCTATGGAACCCTGAGCCAATTAAACCTATTTTCTTTATATTAATAAATTACCCAGTCTCAGGTATTTCTTTTTAGCAGTGCAAGAATGGACTAATACAATGCCCAAATTCCAAGAACAGAGAGAGATCAACACTGAACCACTGAGTGGGGCATGATTCCATGGGGAACCAACCAACGACCTGATGGCAGGTTGATTACACTGGACCATTTCCATCAAGGAAGGGGTAGATCTTTGTTTTCACTGGAAGAAACAATTACCGTGAATATGGACTTCCCTTCCCTCTCCACAATGCCTCTGCCATTTGTGAACTTACATAATGCCTTATTCACTGTTATGGTATTTCTCCACTTGGGACT